TGTTCCTTTGTGCCCTGCCCTACTCTATATATATATATTATAAATATATTTACTATTAAAATATTTTTAAATTTATTTATATAGTGTGCAAAACCCTTTTATATTTAAATTTTTTGAAACTTTAATGGTATATTTATTAAATTAATAAATACTCGATATTTTACAAAAAAAAAGAAATGATGGACTTAAAACCAAAAAACATCCCGACGAGTTAAAAGCGCAAAAAAATATAATATTTAAATTTAACATTACAATTTAGCTCTTGGTTGTTTTAATTACATCTATTTACACAAATGTATAAATAAATAAAAGTAATAAACTAAATAAATTGCTTTTTTTTAATCAAAAATTTTATTTATTATGTAATTGTTTATTAGGGTATTAGTATAAAACTGCATAGAGCAAACAGATTTAAAATTCTGAAACAAAACTAGAATAAGAATATTTGGTTACAATGAATTCAAAAATACCTACGGAAAAGAACGATTCAACCTTCGGTTGGCCACCTTCTCTAGTTATTATTATTTTTCCGGAATAAAACGAGCTTGCAATAATAATTTCCCAAACAATACGTAACACGTTAAAAATATACATTTTGCAATGTTTTGCCAAAAGCGTAGAGAATTAGCGAAGGTCGATAATAATTGTCCATGGTCATTGCATTTTATTTATCAGATATTTGTACATCAAAGGAATTCTATCAAAGGATAACTGTGTATAAATTGGGTCGTTTAAAACGTCCTTAAGCGTTGTGCAATGAATAAATATACAGCTGGAATGGCAGCTGCAAGGCGAGCAGCAATTACATCTGACAAATCCATTTCTTTCAGCTAATTTATTTTAAATATTGTTAATTTATTGTCATAATTACATGTAAACACTAGTGATGTATGGCATCGTGCCTTAAGGCAAATTGCTGGAACTTCCCGTACCGTAACGAAATGTTTGAGGTATATTAAATGTTTTCAAATAGATTATTATAAATATTATAATATTGTCTAATATTCATAAGAAGTATATAAACTGAATTACAAAGTTAACATTATTTATTTAAAGCATATAAGTGAGCTTTAGAATTTTAGCCAAAATTAAAATTAAAATCTGAACTATTATCGATAAACAAAAAAAATTTTTTTTTGAAAAAAAAAAAACATTTTGAAATAATATTATTTTCAAAAAGCATTAGTTTCGTTAGCACAAGCAGAAAGTTTTTTGAATTATTCAAATCGGATGCTTAGTTCTCTCAAAAACTGCCATTTTTTGCACGTTTTGCTCGGTATCTCTGGAGCGTCTGGACCTGCCTTTGCCAAAAACTAATCACCACTTCTCTCTATCAATAGAAATCGAATAATTTTTGAACCATTAAAATCGATTGATATGTGCGCCCGAAAACGTGGACGAGAAAATGCGGACACACAAAACGCGTTAACCTATTTTTTTACCTAAAATACTTGTTTGAAATATAGCATATAAAGGAAAAATCTCTTTTCTTAATTAATAGAAGTCAACTTTAATAACGACATCTGAATTCCAAAAGTATTGCATTGTTAATTTATCAATTAAAATTTGAAAACTATATTTATCGATAGATAGGTGGACAGACATACATCTACACGTACATAATCTTTTCCTGACCTTATCTTTTGGATTAAATATTTTTAAAATTAGTCTAATTTGACATCACCGTAATTCGGCATAAAAACATAGACTAGTGTTCTCTTATACCAGTCTTAAAGTTAACGATCTTTTTCACAACGTTTCTATTATTATTCTCAATTTTTATATTCTAAATAATCAAATTGACACTCGAAAGGTGAGCATAATGCATAAAAAAATCTAAAAAAAAAATTAACTTTGCATTTTATTGATTTAGATAGATGCCAAATCACTAACATTTGTTATCCGATTCAGCAATCATCATTTAGCAGTTCATACCAAGAAGAACAGACCAAAGAATTTAAAAATAATAACAAGAAAACATAAAAATTATATATTTAATAAAATTATGTTGTTAAATCCATCATTTCCTGATTGTTGGAAAATGATGCTATAAATATTTAGTTTGTTGAGAATGAACTTCCATTTCGTAATTGAAGATTATGAATAAGTATCAAGTTTGGCAGCATTATTTGGAAAGAAAATAATCTGATGATGTATAGAAGTTGGATATTTTGGATACAAAACATATTGAAACTTAAATATTTTGATTACCACTGATAAAAATCCTGATCCAATGTAGACAGTGAGAGAATGAAAGTTGCTACTGCAAACAAACTATTAAACTGTAAGGAATAGTTTAATCAGGGAATAGATTGAAAGATGTAAGATAAAAACCTATGTTTGCAGAGAATCTAGTAAAAAATCTAAAATAACGATATATAATGCATCAATGCATAGCAAGAAATTGTCTGCGGATATTTTACGTCATTATATTAATAGTAGTACGAAAGAAAACACCCATTAAGCTTTCTTGCGATTTCATTATGACGTCACAGCGATCATTATTTCAATAGTAAGAGAGCTAGTATTTTTTTTATGTAAAAGGTGAATTAGAACAAAAAAAAAATCTTAACTTTATTGTGGACTATATTTATGCACTTTATAGTTTGAAAATTCTAAAACAAATATTACACTAATAATTTCTTAGTAATTTATATTTATTTTAATTAAATAAAAATACACATTTTAAAAGTTTTGTATTAGTATTAAACAGAGTATTCGTCCATATTGGCAATTCCAGGTAAATAATTATTTTGTAACTTTCTTTTTGTAGAGAAATTTAATTTTTATTTGAAAGTTTTGTTGTATAATCCATTTATTTATCATTTATATATATATATATATATATATATATATATATATATATATTTAAATGAAAAAATATTTTACAAAATGTTTTTTAAATTATGACTTATGTTAGATAACAAAGTAAGAAATCAAACTAAATTAACAAAAACACAACCTTTGCTAAAAATAATTAATACTATAAATCAAACTTTGGTAACAAAAAATATGATTTTAAAAAGTAGCACCTAGTACCGGACATGGCGCGTGATCCCGTACCTGAGTGCCCCTCGCACCCCTTTCATTTGTATTTTGAAATTGAAAGATTTGTGTTAAATAGAGTGTCCGGCGCTAGGTGCCGTCCGGCATTACGTTTATCCGGTTAATCGAGTTTCTACTGCAGCTAAAAAACATATTTCTGTAATTAAGAATTAACTGAGAATTTTAATGAATATACATAGTATTTTGAACACAATTATCGTTGTTTTTCCATTGTTTGCACATTCTACAAATTTAATTGGATTCTGGAAACGTCTATGTAAAAATTTTTAAAATATATCTGAAATAAAATTCTCCAGCCATAAGTCTAAATGCAGTTGATCCGACAGAGAATAATATGTATGTGAGTTTTCCAGACTGGAAAAACATTACGGCAATGACCGCTCCATACACTTTGACCAATAACGCAATTGTATCGTGCGTGGGAAGAACAAGAATAGTTCATTTGTAATAGAAAACCCATGTTTAGACATATATAAAGCAGACAATACAACAATAAACAGATAACATAAAAGTGAAAACCATAAAGGTTAGGGTACGAATGCATATTTATTAAAATAAGCCTTGGACAAAATATTTTCCGCATATCCAGTATCAGATTATTCGCCATGTTGCAAAATTCGAAATATTAAATGAAGCATATATTTTTATATGTATAAAGCTAACAAAGGTCTTATTATACGATAAGACATATTGTATATAAGACATATTGTACTTATGTTAAATAATTTTGAGATGTATTGTTTTGAAAATTGTGTTTATTCCATCCTTAACACTCAACTGAATCCAATTTGAAGATACTATTTTGATTGTATGTGAAAGTTAAGGCATTCAAAATATTGACATAAAATATATGATTTAATAACAATAGTACTAAATTATATTTAATTCGAAATTTTCATCAGAAAGAAGGTATTTGAGAAGTGACAAAAGTATAAAATCTAGTCTCATAGCAAGAAAGTTGTTGAAACCAATTCAGCAGAAGAATTAACAAATGATTATTTATTAATAACCCATTTTAGGTCTACTAATCAATAAAAACCCATTTGATGTTCTTCTAGTTTTTGTACTTTCATCATTGCTAAGAACTGGACAAAGTTCTTGTTAGATATTTTTTTGTACTTTATGAGCAATTGATCGAAAGTCTTATGTAGATAGATAATCAAGCAAATAAAAAAAACAATTCAAATTTCACGTTTGAAAGTGCCCAATAAATTATACTTCAAACGTGAAAATTTAGGATTTCCAAAACTTTAATAAATCGTACAGGAAACTTTCAATTAGCTTTCAAATAGTATTGGTTTTAATATTATGTTATACACAAAATATTTCCATAAATTTTCAATTCATAGCATTTGCCCCTAAATATATGTTTTATACACAAAAAAAAAATTAAGACAATTGCTCAAAATTATAAAAATAATGTTAAGCATTCAAATGATCTATCAAGAAATCTTTCTATAATCTATCATCACAGATTGAAGAGGAAAAAATTGTTTGACTTTGCGTAGCATAAACTAACAATAAGATATTTTTAATTTTAATGTAGGTCTAATTAGTTATTATAAATTGATAAATTTTATTTCTGTATATTTTTATGCATATGTATAGATGTGTTGCGTGTGTACGTGTACATTTCTTATTATTGTATTAAATGACTTACTCTCTTCCATTAACAACATAAAGTTAGATTGTACTGACAGTCCAATACTAAGAAACAAATCATTGCTAGTACTTGTAAACAACATTGTAAAACTCATAAATTTATTACTCAATGTCTTCCCAAAAACAACTTGTAATTTATATAGAAATAAAAAATCAAATACATAATACACAAAGATAATCCAAATCATTCTCAACATTTAAATCTATACAGAAACTAAAGTAACTAAAAACTAATTCGACATCAATAATAGTATAGTAATATTTTCACATACCTTCGTACGTACCTTCATACATTTGTGCGTACTGAGGAAAACCTGCTGCTTTTAGCCATTTACATGCTTCAATTACTTCTATCTCTGAAAATAACAAAAAAATAATATTAGTATCCAGTAATCGAAGTAATAAAACATAATATAAATATTACAAAAAGATATTTGTAATTATTTCTGTTCATATTAATCAGATTCGAAATATATGCACATACAACATTTAGAAGACAATAATTATTCGTATCAGAAAGAATCGGGCTTATTTTGCAAAAAATAATAAAAATTCTATTAGACTATAATCAAGATATAATATATCAGACAAGTCTAAAATAAAATATAACATATAATAATTAAGGCAAATTGCAGGAACTTCCCATACCGTAACGAAATGTTCGAGTAATATTAAATGTTTTCAAATAGATTATTATAAATAAATACTATAACGTTGTCTAATATTTATAAAAAATATATAAACTGAATTACAATGTTGAAAATTGTTGTTACAATTAAAATCAGAATTATTTTCTATTAATATGAAAACTTCGTGTTTTAGTACTCTTCGATTAACTCTTATAATAAAAATCACTTCACTATATATTTTTTATTAATATTCATCAAATAAATTTACCAGATTATGATATTATTGTTTTCCAAGAAATTATTCAGTAAGCTCTTCGAGATAGTTCAAAATTAAAAACTAGCTGTAAGTGGAATTCTGTCTTAAGGCAATTAAGGCATCGTGCCTTGAGGCAAATTGCTGGAACTTCCCGTACCAAAAATTATTATTTTTTTAAAAACGATTAACATTTTTGAAAAAATTTTACTTCGAAAAAATAAGATTTTTTAGAAATTTTAAATTGGACAAAAAATTACTTTTTTTGAAAATAAAATTTTTGTTAAAAAAAAATTTTTAAACAATTTTTTTTATAAAAATTTTTTTTTGGAAAAAATGTTATCTTCATTTTGATATATTTTGGAAGATCTGAACTTTTACTTATACTTATTGTAAAAATCTCAATAAAATATCTGATAATTTGATATGCATATGTCTAATGTCTAATGATTATTGTTGACCGCCAAATGTTATTTTTTTTTAGTTTTTTTTACTAGATCTCCGAAACCGCTAGTCCTATCTTCATGAAAATTTGATCAAATCTTCATCTTGTTAATACAAGTAAAATGTTTTTTGAACTATACAAATCGAATGCTCCGTTCTCTTAAAAACTAAGTTACCGTTTTTGGCCCTTTTTGCCCCATATCTTCGGAACGGCTAGAATGTTTTTTGAATTATTCAAATTGCTTTATCCGTGTTCCCGAAATCGTCGACGAAAATTTGTATCCGAACACACACACATGCACGCACACACACACACATACACACACATACATCAATTTTCTCCAAGGTATGCCAACATATTCAGAAACCTCTGAAACGTGAAGATATATAAAAATTTTCATTTTCGATTTTTTTGCGATTACTTACCCTATGGAAAGTTAATTATAAATAAATCAATTTATGATCTCCAGAACATTAACAATCGTCATTTCATTTCGAATCAAATTCCAAAAAAAATAGTTGCCAAATTTACACAAAATTGAAAAAGTGCTCCCGCATAGTCACAGTCTAAACGCATTTGCAAATAATTCTGTGCGACATTTTCACTTATACTGTGCTCAGTTTGGCGGCATTTTCACATTTTTCAATAATTTTCACAAAATTGGAAAAGTGCTCCAGTACACAAACAGTCTAAACGCACTTGCGTAAACATTTCTACCAGAGTGGCGCTTAGACTGTGCTTAGCTTGGGTGATTTTTTGAATTTTTAGTCCAAAATTACAAAAAAATTTTTTTGAAAAAAAATTAGAAACAAAAAATTTTTTTTTCCAAAATCAATTGTTTTGTTGAAAAAAGCAGAAAGTTCTTTGAATCATTTAAATCGGACGCTTAGTTCTCTCAAAAACAGCCATTTTTTTTAAATTTAGCTCTGTAACTCCGAAACCTCTGGGCCTACCTTTGCCAAAAACTAATCAGCACATCTCCCTATCAATAGGAATCGAATGTTTTTTAAACCATTCAAATCGGTTGATCCGTTCTCTCAAAAATTCGCTTTCTATTTTTTACACTCTTTGCTCCATATCTCCGTAACGGCTGGACCTGCCTTTGCCAAAAACTAATCAGCACATCTCCCTATCAATAGGAATCGAATGTTTTTTAAACCATTCAAATCGGTTGATCCGTGCGCCCGAAAACGTGGACGAAAAAACGCGGACATACAAAACACACACACACACACACACACACACACACACATCCATTTTTTCTGAGGTATGCCAAAATGTTCAGAAACCTTCAAAACGTCGAGAAATGTAAAAATTTTTGATTTCGATTTTTTGACGATTACTATAACTTACCCTACGGGAAGTTAATAATTTTAAAATCATAATGATATGGAATTTGTATTTTCTGCGAAGAGAATATTGTGCATATTTAATTTATACCATACTTCAAAGGATTTTTAAAGCTCTGCTTGAACAAAGCTAAATAGAAAATAATTATAGGAATTACGTCCATATGAAAAAGATTAAGATGAAAAAAATAGTCATAAGTAGAATTAATTATTTCTTTTATATGAAAATATTTATATAGTTGAAATAGATTAAATTTGATTCATCATTCGTTGATGGTTTGTGCTAGAAATATAATATTGCGTTGGTGGCTTTTTATATTATATTTAAAAAAATAGGATCAACCTTTTTAAAAAATGCATCCAATTAGTTTTGCATCTAGGTCTTCATGAATATAAAAAAACAAAAATGAAGATTTTATTTTAATTTGTTTGTGGTCATTTATGACAAACTCGCTTATATACTTCTAAAGATAAGCACTGAAAATTATAAAATCTTTTCGATATTGTTTCTTCTGAATATTACTTTTTTAGTACAGATAGAGCGGGGCTTAAAGATCCGCGAGTAAAAAGATCCACTACTGATATCTCAAAAACAAGTAAAGTTAAAAAATTTAAACAAAAATATTTGAAAGTAGAGGGAAAAAATGTATAACAAGCCATCACTTTGATTCTTACGATATTGCTATGACGAGATAAACGGAAATGTTTGAAAATCCATAACAAAAGTATTTTCTTTCGTTGTTAGCGGTTTTGGTTGTGAGCACTGTTGTTCAGTTTCCGAGACCTCAATATAATTTTTAAATATGCAATATTTAATTGTTTGATAAGCTGTATTGTTAAATTTAAATTAGATTCAACAGTTTTTATTATATAACGTCTATAAAAGCTTACACGTGGGTGATATAAAAAGGACCAACTAAACTTTTACACTGGAAAAGGTGCTAACAATAAAAAATTGTACATAAAAAAGTAAATTAAGCTAAGAAAAGCAATTTTATAAAAGCTAAATTAGATAAATAGTCATTCCAACACCGCTGATGAATAATTCTGACAAAATACCAGATCACGTTTATAAAAAGTGTTATCTCTGTGAAAAATGTACTCATGAAATAATTTTTCATTTATTTTTATTTTATTTACCAATAATTTTTTGTTAGTTGAATAATGTAGCTATTATTTCGTAAAATCTCTTTAAAATTAAAGATAAAACATTGGACCTGTTTGCTTCCTGGTTGTCGCATTTTACCCCAACTATTGGATAAAAAGAACCAGGTACCATTTTTTTAAAAACACCAAAAACACATTTCTACAATCATGAAGTTGGGAGTTTTACTGAATATAGTAGGATAGTTGTTTGTTTGACATGTGATATTTGTTGTGATAAACTTGGTTTGGTTTTCACAATATAATTACACAATGTTAAATTGGACCTTTGTGTCCCCGCCCTACCCTATCGTTTCATGCAATAAACTTGAGACAAAAAGCCACATAGGGTTAGATTTTATAATAATTTCCACAAAATACAAAAGTTGTGTATGAATACAATAAAGTCGACAAAGTCAGAATAATAAATAACAAGGACATTCCCTTTTCATTTGAAACAGTTTCTTTAATTATCCTTGACATGTGTCCTATTGCACCAATAAACTTTTACAATTATTTATTGTTCTCACTTGTGTAGAGAATAAAATCTATTTTAAATACTGGAATATAAAAGAGAACTGCTTATGAAAAGGACATTGTTTAAACCTCCAACACCTCCGGTGAATTTATTAAAACCTTAATTCTATTTTATGAAACTGCTTTTAAAAAGGATCAAGTTCTGCTTCATAATTTAATCTCGTAGTTATCCTGCGAGATCAGAAAGGTTAAACGATGAAATGAAATAGGAATTTCAAAGTTCATCTATATATTAAAAAAAAGCACTATAAAATACTTCAATTAAACAAGTAAAAATTAATAAAAAGAATTAGAGTACCTAAACTAAAAATAGTAAAGCAATTATATATCAATACGATATTCTTATCTTTTTTCTTACATTTAAACTTTTTTTTTCTTAAATTTGCAGTGTTAATTTGCAGTGCAGTTTAAAGGTATTATCAAAGGCAAAACTCATAAAAATTATTAATGACTAAGGATTATCGTCTTGTTAAATGCACAAACTTGAGACGTTAAAATATTAAGTGTTTTCTATTATGCACGGTGCATCCTGCAACAATATACCTTTAAAAGTTTAGAGAAGCAGCTGGTGGTAAGATTTAAAAGAACAATTTGCAAAATTAAAAAAAAACGAGTGCGCATAATGTTCATACGCGATTGAAGTAAAACTTATTTGCTACTGTACAAGATGGCATTTAAATAAAAATAAATACATCATATAACAATTTTGAATAATGTTTATTAGTAATATGGTAACACTCGTGATGCACACATTTCTTAGTATCAACCATTACACACGCTTATATAATGATAAATTATAAATTATATATTTATAATAGCATTAAAAATATGTATGATATTTAAAAACAATAATGTAATTAAAGTCATAGTTCAAATATGACATGATCGGTTTGTCATTGTAATTAGCATTTAGAAATGAGCCTTCATTAGAGAAATGAAGTGATTGCTGATTAATAAATTATATAATATTCGTTCACACAGTGGATTATGTTAAACAACG